TTTCACTTTCTGTCTGCCCGCGTGCGTAGGTCTACGTACCCGCTTCTTCTTCCCCTTCTGAATTGTCTTTTTTATCCGGCAATTAGGTATACTATTTTTTTGCAAATGCACCTTGTTCACGAATTACTAGTTGAATGTACTGTTGTTCGCTACTTTGACCGTCGCAACCGAGGTCGATCACGGCCCAGAGAGTGCGGTTCCTTTCACCCACCCACACTCTTCCAATGCCCATGGCTTTCTAGGTGGCGAAACGTAATCACTATCATTGGAGCTGGGTTGTTGATGTAACCTTAAAGTCTTCGTCAGATAATAACCGCGCTTAGATATTGAAGTGTTCCTGATGAAGTACTGTACTGTCAAGCTTCGTCCGGCTAATAAGGCGTTCCCTTTAGCTTTTAATGCATCTCCTTAAGTTCTACAACCTCATAATTGCCTTAACGATTGTCACTGAATGCCCACGGACACATTGGGGGTTTGGCGGGGTGCACTCAAAACTCTTGGCACGTATCAAGAGCTCCAGGGGAAAGACTACCAGAATCACCCCGCATGACGGCCAAAGCCGCAACCTCCAATGCCAACTGTTTTCACAGAAGATGTACCTGTCTCTACTGCCAGCAACTAATCACAGCCCACATTGATATTTGGCTAGTGTAGCAAATTTTGAACGGCATCCTGTCGGTTGGCCGTCGCGGACGATGTCCACTGCGTGCTCCATAGCATGGTGGACGCAGGCACGGTGACTTGCACGTCAGTTAACTTTTAGCAATAGTAGATATGTGCAGCAAGATTGGGTGATGGCTAAGGAAGACAGAATGCCATTCGGAATTACGATACCGTCCCGCACTTTAGCGGTTCAATCGAAACCTGGAACGAACAACTGCCGCCAAGTGGATTACGCCACAGTAGCCCTCAAGTTTTACAGGACTACTTGAAATAGCAAACGCCTTTTTCGATCTTTTTTCTTCTATTTAAGCCCTTATTATTGATGTTTAGTGATGCAAGTACTCAAAGACCCCTGTTCATTAATTAATAGTCACATCGGCTTTATGTCAACCTCGTTTTTGAGTTCCTACTTGTTCTACGACTGTATAACACATTCGTCACGCCGGTGCGCGTCCAGCCCCCGTGCGCACATCTGCAGGAGCTAAGCCTGCACTGTTCTCCGTTTTATATTTGCAAGAATTTCTACTTTTTTTCGACCGGAAGCTCACGAAGACTCCACAGTTGCCGCATCCTGCTAGTTAAGTGTACACCAGCCATTGAACTACCTCAGCCTTCCGGCTCGGAATTCCGTTTCGTTCACTTCGTTTGGAAAACAGCTCTCCGTGCTATTAATTAGAGCTTCGAAAGGGAGCCTCGTATGGATGTATTTGCAACGTGCTAATTTCGAAATAATAAAAGCTCGGGTCTGGAAAATATCAAATAACCAAGCCAATCGGTCGCGTGAAACCCTGTGCGAGTGCTCACTCCTATCTGATGGGCAAGAGGAACACTGTCATGTTCGTCCGCCTTTTTATCCATCCATACTTAAACGATTAGACAGATGACTGTATTTACTACCATCAGAACTGTCTCAGTTGGTTATAGTATCTACAGTGTTACAAGTCTTCGTGTCCGACCCTCTGCACCTGACGCCGGACTTTCAGCTCCCGCTGCATTTTTCAAAACGGGACTGGTTAGTTCTGCTTCCTCTAAATGAATACCGCCGCAATAGGCAGGGTGTACACGCCAGCTAACGAGGCGAGACTGTCTTAAGGCACGCCTCTTCAGTGTTTCGCAGGAGATAACCGATCGATGGCTTCTAACCAAGAGCATCCTCCTTCAACCAGTCTAAGTAATCTTTGGGTGCACCAAATGCGATGTTAACGGTGCACTGACGCTGCTTTCAACAGCCGTAGACTGCACTCAAAGCTTCAGCTTCCGCCGAGTGCGGTGGCCATAATTCCTGTCTTGACATGACTAACACCTTCCTGTGACAGCTGCATGTGAGGATGTATGCCCTTCTGCTATTAGTCTGTGAGACATCCTTGCCGATGAAGTCGTGGGGTACCTACCAAACTAACTCTTCTCAAAGTTATAGAATTAACTACAATTAGTCCAGCTCCTTGGACAGTGAGAATGCAAATGTCTCAATCGCAACTTTAGATAATTTCATTTGACCGCTGAAAAACGAAGTGCTGATCCTATCTAATGATGAAGAACGCGAGCGAAGCCTGCTCTGTAGATTGATTTCCTCAAATCCTCCTCCATACTTAAAGTACCTGGAACGGCAGAAAATAATGTGCATTCTCGAAACTTGACGTGTAGATTAATTGGTGTGAACGTGTTTTACAGATATCAGACAGCGGACTGACCAGGTTTCTAAGGGCATACGGAGACGGTCTCGTGCGTTTGGTATGACGGTACACGAGTGTAAGATATCGGACTATTCGTATACGTCTCTCTAGTTTCAAATGGCATACCTTCTAGAGAGTAATACGTGTAAAAACATGTTATGAACAGGATGCTTTTATGTGGACAAGAACATTGCATCATGAACACGTGAATACAAAAAACAGCCGATACCATTAAAAAATCAACCCAAGTTAACACTAACAAGTATTGTCGACGCCTGTTGAACGAGCATGCACACCAGGAGGGGGGAGGGGGGATTTCTACAACTCTGTCTTGATGCCCAGCTCGCTCAGATCGATCTTCTCCGTCTCGACAACCTAGAAACATGAAAAAGATTGGAACATTTGACACAGCCCACGCTATTACCGAAAATAGAAATGGATAATGTGAGAGCTAACTTTTCGTCTGTTTAAAATCTACCTGACATGGGACGCATGCATTTAAATTGGAATATATTTATATAGAAAAGGGATGGGAAATTAGTGACATATAGCCTCTATTAATGTGAATCCCGGAGGGAGTGGAGCGTTGTGAACTACCAAAGTTTTTGATGATGTTTGCAGAGATATGAGGGTTTCGACTCACTGGATTCAGGGGCTGACTGCACAGTGATTATAAGATATCAGCGAAAACTAGCGAAGTAGGAAGTTATAGAACCTGTTCACCTCTCGAATCAGGCGGATTACCAGTAAAATATATTAAGCAATTATGACTTATTTTGCGATTAAGTGAA